AATTACGACATGGGTCCATTGAGTTAGCAATTACATTTCTTCCTCAACTCATTAACAAGATTATGAACAAAGTCTTGTTAGATAAATTAATGGTTAAGATACATGTTTCTGGATAAATTTGTTTATAGCAAGAGGTTTCAAATGGGAATATTTAACCTGCAATGGATATCCAGAATAGTCCTTGCTCTAGGATGAATCTGAGCCAGTGGATATGGAGTGTACACCTATGTCATCATCTGTTTCCAGTGCCGTGAAGGTGTACGTTACACAGTAGTATCCTGAGTGGGAAATGTATTACATGGTTGTGAGGTGTAGCTTTTTTAAATTTTGTGATAAAAATTTGATTTTAAAATGCTTTTTATACTCAGGCTTCCAGGATTATGTCTGTTCCAAAGGGTTAAGGTGTATAAGCATGAAATATCTTTGAGGGCATTCTTGAGCACACTCATGAATTATTTTATATTACAAATTGTTTACTTTATACCTGGGAGAAGGGAATACTGAAAAGCAAGTGTGTGACTTCAGAATAACCATTGATTTTATTCCTTTGTGATTGTTTTAGTTTGAGTGAAAAAATGTGTCTGCGGAAAGATGATCAGCCGAAGGTTTTCAGACCTGCACGACTAACTAGGGGCCGATTTCAGAGGCCAAAGCCAAATGTAGGTAAAGCTGATGAAAGAAAAGAAATTCTTGCATCACAGGAAGAAATTGGGGCCAATGTAGAAAGGAATGAAAATGAATCCTGTATTAATAGAGATGTAAGTACTCTGGTTCCTCCCAGTTTTTTTTAAGTACATAAGCCTCCTTTCACTCCCTTTTAAAAACAGCAATACTATATGATTATGTACATTGTTCATGAAATACAAGGGCGAAATCTCATAGTCAGTAGCTTTACTAATTGTAAAGCCATTGAGCTCTCAGCTCTCTGGATTCTGAGCATTGATGTGATGCATCGTTGTTGGCCTTCACTCTCCCTCTTTCCTCATACTTGGACTTTCTTTCCCCGTTACTCAGCAGGTGTTTGAATTACTCTTCCATTTGAAAATAATGCCTAGATATGTGAATTTTTACTCTGACTTAAACAAAATAAAATGTTAAAAGCATCCTTCTAAGATATTCTAAGAACAAAGATTATAGATTTTAGATTATTTACATAATAACTATTCTTTGTGGTAAGGGTAACAGTTGTTATAATTTGAGATTTTAATTTCTTTTGTTATAGTTCCCAAGGTCTATAATGTGATTATAATAATAAGAATGATTCAGATAGATAGACCCCAGGGAATAATTTTTACAGATGAGACTGAAGCAGTTACTTGCTTTCTGACTGGAAGGAAAATGAAGGTTTTGAGATGAGGTAAAAGGTGTGGCTTGTGAAATTTTCTAAGATACCTTAAAAAAAAAAATTAAAAAGTGTCCCTTGAATATCATTTCATAATTTCGAAATGTTTACCATTTTCCTTATACTCAAATTAGACAAAATGAACTGTTTTATAAATGGTTGTTTCATTTTGAAACCTAAAACTGTTTTAAAAATGTGTTTGTTATTAAGACTCCTGAACAAATAGAAGATCAGTTGTGTAAAAATTTTGAGTGTAAAGACATCACATCAGAATCTGAAAAAAAAGATAATTCTTTTCAAAATGTGCAGCTGGATGAGCCCAAGGCTCTTAATGAATGTCTAAGGTAAGCCTCATCTTATTGATTACATAACTTTTGAATTTTGTATAAAGTTTTAAAAATTGTTAATCCTTTTTTAAAAGCAAAAGCAAATCAGACTGATTTGTTTTCTGTATATCAAGTTATATAATATTTATAAATATAACTTCGTTTTTCAAGACAATTTATGTCGTGACCTTCTTGTTGATTTCCAGTTATGGGTGATTTGAAGAGAGCTACTCATCATAAATTAGACCTTGAGTTAACATGGGTCGCTTTATCATTTAACATGCATATTAAATTAGATGTCTATGTCCAAATGTGAAACTGCTAATTTTCTTATTTTTTCTTTGGGATTAAATGGATCGCATATTGTCTTTATTTAAGGTTTACATAAATTTTATGTAAAACCCCTGTGTAAAAATCCATACTTCTCATAGCCAAAGCTTTTCATATTTATTTCCCCTCTGGAGAACAGCAAACCAGATTGATGGAATTATTAGTATACTTAAAATTTTTTTTTTCTTTTTGGGAATATTTGATGTGTATGAAAGCACATTAAACAGGAAAATGGACTCCCATGTACCTATTATCTAGTTTCCACAATTATTATTTTTCCAATCTTTACATTTAAAGTCTGGCCTATCCTGTACTTTCTTATAGCCGTATTAGGCTATTTAAATAATACCTAACCTGAGAGTGAAAGCTAGGCTTTCTGAGCTGTTTTTTTTTTTTTTAATTGGGGAATTGGGGGGATGGGAACAGTGCTGGGGAATTGGGGGAAGGGGAACAGACAAGTTGCTGTCATTTTGTTCTTCAGTCTAGTTGTGGAGGACGTTGCTTCACCGGCCCAAGTTGACACCATCATTGCTCTTTTCCCGGGTGAGGCAGATCAGTCGCCAGCTTTTGAACGGCCGCTCACTGCGGCTGCTGGCTACACACGGTAGCCCATGGTAACCCACTGCCACAGGGGCTGTAGCCTGCGCCACTGGCGACTCATGTCAGCCCAGCTCCAGGTTGAGCTGTTGTTCAGTATCTTAGCTGTAGAGGGCAGTGTCACTGGCCCTCATATGTGGGATCCGAACCGGGGCCCTCTGGCGTCCCAAGCCAGTTCTTAACCATTGCGCCACTTGGCCGGCCCCTTCCTGAGTTGTTTTAAAGATCTTTATTAGAAGACAGAAAAATTCCTTTATTCCTCGCTTCTCCCTCTACTCTTTTGCTTCTTACTTCCTTTCTTATACCTCTTTCCTCCACTCCCAAACTGTTACTACTCTGCCACAGAATCTCTGTACAATGGCATTACTTGTTACATATCTCTGATACAGATGTTGGTTACAGATATCTGACAGTTTGGATTTTTTGTTAATATTTTTTTCAGTTTAAGCTGCTAGACTCTATTTAATAGTTCATGTGGTCTAGTAGAAAATTAAGTTTTTCCCTTAGTGGTCTTTGGGTTCTAGGACCCTGATGGATATTGTTTATAACTACTATCCAGCCTGATCTCAACAACTTTCCTTTCCAAGGCAGTGCCCTTCCTGTTTTGTCATGTGATCTTCCTGGTCTTTGAATCTCCAACATCCTTAAAAACAATTCTAAGATTCTGTGTTTTATCAAATCATATGCCTCTTTCTATCTATAGGCAGTTCTCTCCCCTCCCCAAACACTTGAGCTGTTCAAGATGCTGTGTAAGAGAAGGAGGAAATAGAGAAAGAGACTCTGAGATGAAGAATGCATTAAAAATTCTACTTGATTAGATAAATTAGTGAATATATTTTTGAAACTCATTTCTGTAGGCTAATTTTGCATCTTGTATACTTCATATAAATAAATATTTTGAGATTAGAGTCATGATTGGTGAGTTATCTTATGGAGGTTTATGACTATTTTATAGATTCTTAAACTGTTATTTTAGAAAAACGCATATGTGGACCATGGAACAGATTTATAGTTTTGGGCACATGCATTCTCCTACTTTCTCCAGTTGTGGTCCTCTTTCTTTCTTTGCTTTACTCCTTAAATTTTGTGATCTGTGGAGACAGTGTGTGACCATTGCATGTTTTAAGTTGGGAAATAATGTAATTGAGTTACTGCCCTTCAGTTAATTGTGCAGCTGATATGCGCTCTGTGAGAGGAGTTCTGTACTGTTCACCATTGTATTCCCAGTTCCTAGCACCTGGCCTTTCTGGCATGTAATAGGTGCTTAGAACTATATGTTTATTGATTGTTCATGAACTCTAAGTAATGTGATATTTACGATTTCTTCATAAAAGTTAAGCTTATCAAAGTCCTTTTATTACTTAGAGACAATCTAAGCACGTAGAATATAATCATAACGTTGCATATTTGTATCTTAAAGTCTGAATTTATATTGAAGTAATGAAATTATTAATAAAGCGTTTGCTTAAAGCATTTATATGTTTCAAGAATATGCTAGTATTTAAAATGTGACTTTATAAAGATAGTGTATCTTTTCCCATGATGACCAAAGAAAATTGCTAGCACTGGAACCTCACTGAAAGCTAGATATTTCCAGTTGGAGATGAAAAGTTCGTAAGTCAGAAAAAGAATGAAATCCACTAAGGATTAACCAAAGTAAATTTCCTTTATTCATTTTTGCATTGAACATTATCAATTACTGAAGTTAATGATAGGTATAAAACACCTCAATTATATACGTAAGTACAATTTGAAAAGCAGCCTTTTTCCTAACATCCTGCCTTGCGTTATCAAAAATTGCATTAAGAAAAACAGTTGTTTCATTGAAGAAAGATAGGTGAGGACCTAGACAAGTTCAAACAAGCAGTAACATTGTTTTAAATATTAAAAAAAAAACTGTTACGTATCTACACTTATTCAGACTAACGTTGCTGAATAAATCTAGTGTTTCATTTGATCTAGCTTTTGCTTGAGATTAATAACCTTTCTTAACCAGTCACTAAGAACTCTTTCATTCATTTATATATTTTTATGGGTTTTTCCATCTAGTATTTGATAAAACACAAACTGAGGTGCTGCTGCTTTTCTAGAGAACAAGTTGCTTGTCTTAGAAATGATTGTTGGATGCCCAGTGACATTCAGCCAACTGCAAAATATTGTTTATTTAATCTTTGCTTATAGTCCCAATTTGTATTATGAAGTCACAGCTCTTAGAGAAATGTCTATACAGGAAATCTAATTTTTAATTCTTTTTAAAAAGTGAGGAGGCACAATCATAAGGTTGTATCTTGTTCAAATCATGCGTCCACCCAGCTGTCTGAGATGCTAGTCAAGTGTGGCCATATAAATGAGGTTCTTAACTCTTATGGAAAGGTATATATCTGTGTAAAGGATAGTAGGAGCAAGATATAGGAACAGCAGACACAAATTGGCCTAGCTCCAATATAAAGGACTGGAGAGTCATTCTCAGCCCATATTTACAAAGGATGGTATAGATGACAATTAGGAAGAAACTACTGAGGGCCAGTTAGCAGTTACTCTAATTGACCTTATTGATGGACTTCTCTTTATATTTCTATATAACTAGATATATTTAATTATTTCAAAATTTTACCATAATTCCAAAAGATGGAATTTGTTTTTTCCCTTTTAATTTTTAAATTTTATCCAGATATTCTTCGGGCTTCTTTAATTTTCTTTTCTTTTTTTTTTTGATAGTTCCTGGTATTTTATTAGTGATTTCCCAACCATTATGTTTCCAGCTGGCAGTCTGGTTTAAAATTTGATTCTGTATCTTTTATTTATGTTTTTAAAATAGTATTCAAGAGGATAATAAAACAAATACACTCAAACAAATTCCAGTTCTAAAGAATCGATTTCAGAAACCAAAGCCAAATATAGGAAGAGGATCTAGAAGAAGAGACATTTTCTCAAAGGAAGGGGTACCAGAGGATATTCTTGCCTCTGCAGAAAAGACCGCAGCAAGACTGGAAACCTCACCAAAAGAGAAGGTACCAATGGAGGGTAACACTACTAAGGAAATGGAGTCAGAGTTAAACGAAACTGAAAGAAGAGACATCTCTCCCAGGGAGAAGATACCAGAAACAATTGACATCACTGTGGAAATGGAGACAGATTTGAAAGAAACTGGAAGGGAGATGTCCCCAAGGGAGAAGATACCAGAGATGACTGATACCACTGAGGAAAGAGAGACAGATTTGGATGAAGCTGAAAGAAGAGAAATAGCCCTACAGGAAAATGCCCCAGAAGAGGTCAACACTGTAGGTGAAGTGGAGACGGGTTTGAAAGAAACTGGAAGGGAGATTTCTCCAAGGGAGAAGATACCACAGGTGACTGATGTCACTGAAGAAAGAGAGACAGATTTGGAAGAAACTGAAAAACTAGAAATATCCTCACGAGAAAAGGCCCCAGAGGTCACAACTATAGGTGAAATGGAGACAGATTTGAAAGAAATTGAAAAAGAAATTTCCCCAAGGGAAAAGGTACTAGTGGGGATCAGTGTTATAGGGGAAATGGAGATTAATTTGAAAGAAACTGGAAAAAGAGACATTTCTCTGATGGAAAAGGTATCAGGAAAGATGACTGTCATTGAGGAAACAGAGGCAGATTTGAAAGAAACTGGAAGAAAAATTCCCTTGAGGAAAAGTGGATCAGAGGAGATCAGTGCTACCGAAGAAATAACAGATTTGAAAAAAACTGGAAAAATAGACATTTCTCTAAGGGAAAAGGAACCAGAGGAGACTGGGACCTTGAGACAAACTGAGACAGATTCAATGCAGAGCAGCAGTGGGGACTGCGGCACTTTGCCTCCACTGAATATAACAGTATGTATTTTTCTGTCCTTTAAAATTGTTTTGAATACTCTTTCAGAGAAACCTTATCAAAATAATTTCATGATTATTGCCCTTACGTTCAACAGTCGTTAAAATCTCAAGAGCCTAAAGTTTTTCCCAGCCCTAAATTCTGTGTTTCAGGACCTTGAAGAAACCATAGATTCTTTTAAAAAAAAGTGTTTTTAAAAATTTTAATTATAGAAAAGTTACTATTCTTTTTTTATTGTGAAATACACATTTTAAAAAATTAGTTTCAGCTGTACAACACAGTGCAATAGTTATACTTTTTACCCCTCGAAGTGATAAACCCCTCCCCCAATCCGCTGCCCCACTTCCCCCCCCAATATCATACATATCTATTACAATTCCCTTGACTCCACTCCCACTATACTCCACGTCCCCTAACTATATATATATATTCACTTATAATTGACATACAATATTATACAACATCAGCTTCAGGTGTACAGTGCAATGATCAAGCCTCTACCCCATCTGTGATGCTGTCTCCCTAACAAGATGTGACCACCTGACACCCTACAAAATATTTACAACATTATTAATTATACTCCTTGAACTGTCTTTCATATCCCTGTGGCAATATTGTAGTTACCTATTTATGTTGTCTAATCCCTTCCCTTTCTCCCTCATCCCCACCCCCCCCCCAACTAGCACCCATCAGTTGTTCCTCTATTATCTCTGAGACCATTTCTGTTCACTTTGCTTGTTCATTCAGTTTTTTAGATTCCACATATAAGTGAAATCATATGGTATTTGTCTTAAGCCGACTGACTTATTTCACTTAACATAATAGTCTCTAGGTTCATCCATATCGTTGCAATTGGTATGATTTCATTCTTCTTTATAGCGGAGTAATACTCCATTGTATAAATGTACCACAGTTTCTTAACCCAGTTGTCTACCGATGAGCATTTCGGTTGTTTCCAAGTCTTGGCTATTGTAAATAGCGCTGCAATAAACATAGGGGTGCATATATTTTTTCGAGTTAGCGTGTTGGGTTTCTCTGGATAGATACCCAAGAGTGGAATTGCTGGGTCATACGGTAGTTCCATTTCCAGTTTTTGAGATACCTCCATACTGATTTCCATAATGGCTGCACCAATCTGCAGTCCCACCAACAGTGCACCAGGGTTCCCTTTTCTCCACAACCTTGCCAGCATTTGTTTGTTGATTTATTGATGATAGCCATCCTGACCGCGGAGTGAAGTGGTATCTCATTGTGGTTTTTATTTGCGTTTCTCTAATGATTAGTGAGGTTGAACATTTTTTCATATGCCTGTTGGCCATCTGTATGTCCTCTTTAGAGAAATGCCTCTTCATATCCTCTGCCCATTTTTAAATTGGGCTGTTTGTGTTTTTGGTGTTGAGTTGAATGGGTGTTTTATAAATTTTGGATATTAACCCCTTATCAGATATATCATTGACAAATATCTTCTTCCATTCAGTAGGCTGCAAAAATTACTATTCTTAATGTCACTTTAAAGTTAGTCTTTTAGATAAAAGGAATATAGGAAATTGGACTGAATTTACTAACTCTAGTATGAACATACACTGGAATTATTTCTTTTGGCCATATCTATCACTTTTCCTGTTTTTTTCCTGCCCCACCCCACTTTACTCCATTTTTTAAAGTTATTTTCATTAAAGTTTTCAGTTACTTGAAGTTCATGCTCTTCTAATGTTTTTGAGGACCCTTTTTTTCTAACTTGTTTTGTTTGGATAGGTAATAATGGCATTTGTGGTTTGGAAAAATCATAATACACAACATAAAAGAAGAGTTTTCTTCCTGAATTTTATGTTTTAACATTTGTAAAGTAAATTTTATTTAAAAATTAAAAAAAACAAACTTCTAGATTTTTAAAGAAAAGCAGTGAGAATGTAGTAGGCTTTTGTTTGAAATGCTTAAGGAATCTTGTATATGTGCGGATTTACTGTGACTGTTTTTTCAGAACATCAACAGTGAAGTGCCATCCATGGTCCATACACCTGTAGAAGAAAAGAGAAGTTCTGAAAAGGAAGTATCAAGTCAGTTGAGTCACTTGAAGACTTCTTCTCAGGCTTCTGAGCATGATAAAACAGAAGACCATGGGATGCAATCTCCAGATATTCTAGAGAAGTTTTCAGATATGAATTTAAGGTACAAGTATATAGGTCTGTGTGCTTTTAAAGAAAAAGCATATAAAGTTATATTTGCAAATTATGTTAAATGAGGATTTAAGACATAATGTCTATAATACAGTGTTAGAGATTTTAAGCTGGTTTTGAGAAGAGTGGGAGTGAAGATCGAGGTCATTCTAACAGTTGATTGTGAGAATGAATAACATACACAATTGTATGTAACACACACTCCTAAGTCAATACGAGTGTGACAAACCTGTATTTTCTTTGTGCAAAGATAATTCCTAGGCTTATATCTGGATTGTACCACTCATGTTTTTCAGGATCTACTAAATAGTCTGATTTGTTTTCCTGTTAAGAATTAGAATTAAATGTTTATCGCCAACCTCTAAGGTTGTCTTAAGACTGCTCCCACTGCCCTTCAGTTCATTCTAAAGCTTGATAATCCTTGTTCCAAAAGCAAATCTCTTCCTCAAGAACAGAAGCCATTTGAAGTCAAGCCAGCACCTTTTGTGAGAATTCGATTCAAAAAACCAAAACCAAACTTATCAAGAGCAGCTTTAAAGAGAGAGACTACGGAAGCAGGAAAATATGTACCTGGGAAGAAATTGGAAACAGATAAAATGGAGACTGTTACGGTACAACAGGGTGATGAACAAGTGAATCCTCTCCCTTCTCAACATGTGAGTGATATTTAAGATGGAGGTTTTTGTTTTAGTTGTTATGTTTACTGAAGTAAAACACCTGGAATTAAAATTTCACCAATATTTCCTCATGTAATTTTTACTGCATGTGATATTGTTGTCGCAGTACGTAATATGCCTCATTGTTCCACATTGTTTGTGTAAGAATCTCAAATCTCTGATGATGGGCAAGTGTGTCATGGGAAGGCATTTAAGCGGCCTGGGCTCTAGTTCAAGTTATGACCTTTTGGTTCTGTGACGACAGCCAAATGATGCAGTCAGTTTCTTTATAGGAAAAATGGGAATGAAAATCTTTTTTCATTCTGTTGTGAAGGTAAAATAAAAAGTTAAAGCTTGATATGAGTGAAAGATATTTTATTTACTTGGTCCATAACAGATTAAGATTGTATGATGTAACATCAAAAACTTTGAAATAAAGTGTTAACACTCATAAATTAAGTGTTGTAAACATGTAAGTACTTCTTTGAATTAAAATTTTTTACATCTTAAAAAAGCATAGTTCTTACAATGCTTGAACATTTGTACTTTTTTCTCCTTGTATTTAAAAAGATAAATCACCTTTTATTATTTTTTTCTGATTATGAATATTTCACATTGGAAAAAATATATAATCTAAAAAGCAGAAGTCGTTTATAATGTCCCATCTCTCCCGCCCAAGTTAATCATGTAGCAATTTTTAATATACCCACCTAGACTTTTCTATATAGACAATTATTTATATAAATAATAAAACGTGAGGGTATTTTCATTGTTTTAGAAAAATGATGTCATAACTTTCCTTCTGATTTTTTTACTTAACACAATTTTGTGAACATCTTTTTGGATCGGTATATAGAAATTTATCTTCTTTTAAATGGCCCCGGTACTGTTGCATTATAAAGAAATTATAATTTATTTTTTTAATTCCCTACTGAGAGATTTGTCCTGTTACCATTTTTTTGTTTGCTTTTTCTTTTTCTGGGGCAATAATATTGCTATAACAAATGTCCTTGTATATAATTTTCTAGGAACTTATTTGAGTATTTTTATGATACATTTCTATAAGTGGAATCACTGGGAATTCAAGTTTTAATACACTTGCCCTATTGTCCTCTACAAAGACAATAATAACTTATTCTTCTAATAGTATATGAAAATTCCTATTTCCCTGTACTTCTCCCAACCCTCAATGAAATTTTTTTTATCTGCCTTCTAGGATGTGGCTTCCCTAATGACATCAAGAGAAAAAGACAAATCAGGCCACAGGCAGAATGAGGCTGTATTACCATGTCTACAGACTGAACAGAACCTTTCACCTTCAAGTTCTTGTGAACCTACAGAGGAGTCTCAGTCTACACAAGTCCAGAAAAAGGAATTAGCAGTTTCTGTGGGGTAAACAGTGATAGTCCTTTGAAAATCTAAAATAAGACAGAGTTCTTTCAGATATTTCTTCATTTTTATTAAGATGTGTTAATGTATTTTAAAAGTGAATATAAAGAATACTGTACTTGGTTTATTTGTATTCATATGGCAGACTGCCTAAAATTGAAAATCAGATTGAGTTCATTACCTTTTAATGCTCTCCTGCGTATATTCACAGTTCGCTGCTTAACACATTGAGGACGGGGTGTTTAAATACATAGATGCAAATCTGCGTCACCGGTCCACAATGTGTTAAGATCTTACACAAAGCAGTGTACAGTATTTAAAAATACGTATATATAAGGTATGTATTATTTGCCTTTTAAAAAATTGTGGTAAAATACATATAAAATTTACAATTTTTACCATTTTTTAAGTGTACAGTCCAGTGGCATTAAGTACGTTCATATTGTTGTGTAACCATCACCACCATCCATCTCCAGAATTTTTGTCTGAAATTCTACTATTAAACAATAACTCCCCATTCCCGACTTCTTCCAGTTCCTGGCAACCACAATTTGAATATTCTAAGTACCTCATACAAGTTCAATACCTTTTAAGAATTGAAATAACTTTGTTCTTATATAAAATAAGATACAATCAGAAAGTAATTTTCCTTTAATGGTATAAAACATTTTTAAAGAGAGTCTATTAGAGGAAATTCAGATTTTACAGTAGCTTTCATCTTTTTACGGCTAAGCTCCCTCTGTTTTTCCCTGTCCTCCTTTTTAGGACTCATAATATAAACACTTCTCAACAAGAAATGAAGGAAAGTGTTATCCAAACTGCTCGACCAGCAAGGGGACGACTTCAGAGACCTAGACCAAACATAAGAAAGGCTGGACAGAGGCAAATAGCGGAAAAAGGTGAAGCCAAAGGCATAATTAAGGAAGAAAGAACAATATTACAAAAAGATACAACTAAAACATTTCTGACTGTGGTGAGTTATTGTTATGTAATTAAATTGAGGCTTTTAATGCATATTGACATATCAAATGATAGCTCAGACTTGACTTAAAATGTAGGCATCTGACAATCAATGAATGCAGAATGTATCTAGTTTTGTTTCATATTTACTATTCTGAA